GGGATGAGGGCAGGTGGAGGGGGTTGGGTGTAGTCCGATACACGCTCGCTCATCCGAAAAGGAGGAGAAACAGCCGAGAAATCACCAACTCAATCATGGGGGGTATCTGTGGTAGGGAGGTCCTTCTCTTTGGTCGATGTGTCTGTGTTTTAAGCGCTGGGACGGCCATTGATGCCATCCTGTGTGTCAGCCAATACTGTAATAGAGACTGTTTGTAGTTGGCTTTATCCATTGACACAGCCTCTGCTTGTGAGACGACGGAGGGTCGGTTTGGTGTGCATGGATGGCGTACGAACGACCTTGACAGCATACATAGTATCCATGGGATGGTCAACACGTCTGTACACGGGTCACCTCCATCCATCCATCCATCCAAGCATGCACACAGCACCAACGCACCACACATCCTTCCCCACCACCCCACAGCATCGACATCTCTCCAATCCCCCGGCCCTAGCTGTCTGTCTGTCTGTCTGTATGGCTGTTGGATGAGCTACGCCGCCTCGCCGCCTCGCCGCCACCAATAACTAACTAACCTGACACACATGCACACACATATGACACATGTGCCCTTGCCCTTGTGTGCCCCATCAGCTCACCTGTGCCGTCATTGTCGTCGTTTCCCCGGCCGCCATGTGTGTTGTCGTCCTGGTTGGGGTCTTCTCCGTCGAAAATGATGGGTGCGATGGGGCCCAGCACTGGTCGCGCCAGGGCGGTGGTGCGGGGGAAGCGGTGCTTGAACGGGGCATCGGCAGACACACCCGCTGCGGGCGGCTCGGTCGTATACATCCTCACATACACTGCAGCGAGAAGGCCTTGGTGCTTTGTCTGAGTGACGTTTCCTCGTTTCAGACCTGAAGTTTGTCCGTCCTCAAAACCAGGGTCCCAGATGTTGATGAATGCGATGAAGGGATGGTCGAACGGCGTCAGCAGCAGCTGCTTGTGTCGTGTGTCCCCATAGGTAAACGCCATGACGGCCGTGGTGCCCTCGACGGCCTGGTGTACCGACTGGTCGAGCACACCCGCCAACACCCCGCCACGTGCATCGCTGCAGACACACACAGTTAGGCAATAAAGCACCAGCGACGACAAGAGGAAACGGTGTGCCCCATCCCCACTGACCGACCGGCCTACGAGTTTATCGGTCTCATGCATGTCGTCAACGGTGGGCGCTATGATGGCGTCTATCAGGAATGACGAAAATGACGCCTCGGTGCACACTTCGTCACCGTCAGTGTCCCAGCCGTGTTCCTCGTCGTCGTAGATGAGGTGGTGTCGGACGGGGGGGGGTGTGGGGGATGGCGTGTGGGTGGTAGGGGTGGGCGGGGGCAGGGGGGTCAGATCGAGGCGGTGCTCCGGCTCGTCCTTGATGGCCCGCAGGTCGCCATTGCCGTGGTCAAACAGCTCAAATGTGCCCTGCTCGTCACCAAAGTCGACATGGCGGCCGACAATCTTCCACAACGCGACCACACGCGGCTCAGCCAGATACCCCTGACGTCACACACATCCGTCACGTCACAGCACACACACAGAGAGAACGCCACCCACCCGTCCCCTCCCCTCCCCCATCAGCCCACCGACCTGTTTGCTACGGTGTTGCTCCAAATCTTGCTGTGTGACGATGACCGGCAGCTCACAGTAGGTGAGCTGGTGGGCCAGCCGCAGCGCATCGGCCACCTCGTCCCAACTCTGATCCTCCACCAAGTACATGGCCTGCAGTGATAGACAGACAGATAGTTGGGGGAGCATGCCACCGATTGCACCGAGGCCTCTGTCTTCCTTCTGTGTACCTGCAGCAGCAGCCGGTCCTCCAGCTCCGCGTCATCGAACGTCAGCACCGTGTCCAGCGGCGTGCCGTCGAAGAGTTGCGTTTCGTGCAGGGCGCGGGCGAGGCGGCGGCGCAGCACGTCGGTCCCGAAGTCGACCTGCGACAGGAAGAGGGCGGTGGATCTGAGGACGCCCAAGTCTTTGAGCTTGTGCAGCCTGTCCCGCTCTTCTCGATGGATGAAGTCCGGCTTGTCAGGATTGCCAGCTTGGCAAGACGAACCACTGCGAGCTTGTGAGCTAGGGTATATTTCTGTGTAACGGGTGGAGAGATGAGAAGACAAGGAAAGACAAGGAAAGTATTCTGAGAAGACACGATCTTATCAGCCATCACCGAAGTGAGATCTGTGTTGACCACCCTTCATGATGCCATACATGGACAGAAACAACTTTGACTGACTGGCCAGTCCATCGGTCTTATTAAAGTAAAAGCACTCTTACTCTGGGACTTACCGCCCAGC